TATTACTATGAGTTTATTATGATATATTACTTTTGTATTATTTGTTTATCGCTTCAAGCCTAACACTAATTACTTTTGATTAAAAAAAACAAAAATAGATAATGTGGTTGTAAACTTTAATTATTATCTTAACTTGTCTTTTTAAAAGAAACCGCATGCTTAATCTCATAAGGTCTAGATTTGAAGATCTATCGCTAGACATTGACTTAAGGAGTCACCACCAATCTTTTTTATCTAGGTGTGATTGACCAAAGCTAGTGCTTTCAGATACTGGTACAAAAGATTGGGTTCCAAAAAGAGAACTTGGGGCTCTAAATGTAGTGGTTCCAAAAAGAAAACTACCGAATGTTGGCATTAATTGGCCAAAAGCTAGGCTAGACCCAAAGTTGAATGAATGAGTAAAAGATGCTCCAAAAGGAAGAGTGTTTGAAGCCCCAAAAGCAGGAGGGATGGAACCCCCAAATGCAGAACTAGAAGAATCGAAAATAAGAGTGCTAGAAGTGCCAAAAGTAGGTGTGCTTAATGCTTCAAATGTACCCTCTGTTCCAAATACCTAGGTATTAGACACACCGAATGTAGTTCCAGTGGTCCCAAATGTTGGACTTTCAGTTGAACTAAAGACAGGGGTACCAAAGGCAGGAGTGTTTGTGGAACTAAAGGTAAAGGTGCTCGTGGCACCAAAAGTAAGAGTACTGAAACCAAATGTAGATCGACTTGAACCAAAAGGTGTGGAGGAACCAAATATACCACTACTAAATGCAGGCTGTAATTGCTATGTTGTGTTAGTTGGTCTGTATTGCTTAACGAAAGAAGTGCCTCATTTTTATTCTTTTTTTTCTGGTGCACGAAGGGAAAGGCTAAACCATTTTCTTGGTTAAAAGTGATCTATTTCCTTCAGAGTTCCTTCAGAGTAAAAGATTTTACCTTCAAAGTTTCGGGCTAGAAGTAGTCATCTTACTCGCCTCCGATGCTCTATGGATCCTCAATACAACCGAGTCTTTGACTGAAACCAACCAATTGCCAAATTTAAATGGAACCAGGGTCCATCTAAACTAGATAATCAGCCTCTTCATCTGACTCTTGAAAGTTGGATTCTTTTATCGAATGAGGGAAGATAGTAATCACCAGACTATACCACTTCAAGCAGTATCATAGCGAGCAGGTTACCAGCTTTCATAAAGCAGCCCATGCCTTCTTGATACTACTCTAAGTGGTAAAGTTGCTAACAGAAGACTGAACACCTTTTGACTCTACCTTTTTCCTCTCCTATTCAGATTCTTCTTCTATCTTTCCTTTTTTTTTTCCAAATTATGAATCACAATGATTTATAAAACCATGCTGATAGAGTTTCAGTTCAATTTCAATTAGTCATCTAACGCTAAATATTAGCATCTAATTATACTTTCTCATCATCATCAAGCCTAATCTCAATCTTTTTTTTTAAATAATCAGATAATGAAAATAGAAAAAAAAATAATAAGTAGACTATAAGATAAAAATTAAAAAATGATAAATGATAAATATGAAATAAAAATGAATAAAAATTTTTACAATCGAGTCTGGACTGGTTTTAATTGATAAAAGACCCCGAACAAAATGAGGTGCCTACAGCTACCCTCTTTGCACATTTTTTGTGAAACAGAAATTGTGCAAAGAAGTAGACACTCATTCAAGACTCAACTAGATTTTTTTTTATCCTTTTTTTTTTTACTTTTTTTGTTTTTTTTTTTTTTTTTTTAAATTTTGATCAAAGCTCCTTTAAGCAGAGGCTCAACGACTTTAAGAAACATAAACAAAGCTCCTCTAAACAGAGGTAATTTTTTTGTTTTTTTATTTTTTTAAAAAATTTGATCAAAGCTTCTCTAAGCAGAGGCTCAATGACTTTGAGAAATATAAACAAAGCTCCTCTAAATAGAGGTAATTTTTTTTTTAATTTTGATCAAAGCTCCTCTAAGCAGAGGCTCAATGATTTTGGAAAAATAAATGGCTCCTCTAATCAAAGGCTCAACGAATTTAAAAAAATAAATGGCTCATCTAATCAAAGGCTCAACGACTTTAGAAAAATAAATGGCTCCTCTAATCAAAAGTAATTTTTTTTTTGTTTTTTTGTTTTAAATTTGATCAAAGCTCCTCTAAGCAGAGGCACCATGACTTCAAAATAAATGCTCTCTAAACAGAAGCACCACAACTTTGAAAAGTAAATTACTCCTCTAAACAGAGGCACCTCAACTTTTGAAAAGGAAAATGCTCCTCTAAATAGAGGCACCACAACTTTAAAAAATAAATTGCTCCTCTAAACAGAGACACCATGACTTTGAAAAGTAAATTACTCATCAACAATCATGTCCAAAGGAGTTATAGATCGTGATTGAAGAAATTTTGTAATGGAAACTCAAAGATTCACAATTTAAGTTCAACATTCATAGGTTCAAATTCGCAAGAACCTTCTAACTTCGTAAGAATTTACTAAAATTTGATTCTCAAAATTTTAGTTTCGTTCAAATTACAAGATCTCAAGATTTGCATTTGCAACTTGCAAGACTCGCATTTGGCATTTGGCAAGCTTGAGATTCACATCCAAAAATTCAAAACTTCTCATTTGAGTTCAAAGGCTCAACAATAAAATTTAGAGTTTCACATCTAAGTTCAAAGGTTCTCATTTAAAAAAATTTAGAGATTCATATCCAAAAAGTTAAAGCTTTGTATTTTGGAGATTCACATCCAAAAGTTCAAAACTTTTCATTCTAGTTCGAAGATTCACATTTGACGAACTTTAAGGTTTCACTCCTCAAAGATTCTCATTTTGAAACTTTAAGATTCTCATTTGAGTTCTAAAAAATTTTCATCAAAATATTCATAATTTTTTTCAAGTGACTTAAAAATTTGCATGAATGAATGTTATGACCAAATATGCAAATGCCTTCTTAATGATGCAAATACGATAACCTATATTCTTATAGTGCCATGCATGTCTAAACAAAGTTTAATTCATCGAATTATGTGCATATATTATTCAAGCAATGATGCCCTCATGATGCATGTAATGCAAATGTCTATGTCATAAAATTTTAAATAATTATGGTAATATGGCTCTCAAAACTCCACCATTTCGTATGTCTTTCTTGTTCAGTTTCTCAATACTTTCAAATAAATTTCATCAATTGATCATCACTTGACCACCATTCATAGACTTCTCAGCACTGATAAATTTTAAAACAAGTTTCATCCACCATCACTGGGTCATTACTCATAGGTGTCTCAGCATTAATCATTCCAAAACAAACTTTATCCACTGATTATTCTCATCATTCAATCATAACTTGCAAGTCATATCGATCAATTCATCCTTGTACTCATCACTTGGTTATATATACCACTTTTCAAGATTTGTCCCATCTTCATTTTATTATCCAATCCATCATCATATTCTCCATTTGATCACATCATATATCCTTCCAAATCATCTCTTTTAGGTTTTTACCATTTCTTCATTTTGTTACCACCATCATCTTAGATTTTTTTTTAAAGGAATGTAAGACTTTTTTATGCACATTTTCATTCATTCATCATCATTTCAATTCTTAACAATTATAATGCACTCATACATTTTTTTGATTTATTCTAGAGATGTAACAATAAGAGAACACAAGGTGAATTATGACAAAGATAATCAGTGAAGATCTATTTTGGTACAAAATAAATGGAAAAGGAAATAAATTGGATACATGTCATTGGGATGAATAGTATGTCCAAACGATGAAGATTCAGATAATTCTCAACATTAATCTAAAATTCTTTTTCAAAAACTTATTCTATTTACTGTTGAAGTCATTTTGAGCTTGACGAACTTTACCCCAATCTTTGAGGGATCTTCAGATGTCTTTGATCTTCCATCCATGTGAACCATTTGACCTAGATTTTTTTATACCCAAATCACCTTTTTAGGTTTTCAATTTGAATCGTTTTTTTCATTTTTTCATTTTTCATCATCTTCTTTTTTTTTTTCATTTTTCATCCATTGTTGATATCTTTTCACACATCAAACTTTAGAGCAATGCAGCATGATTTCATTGTTTCATCATGAGCATGTCTTCGCCCAACATATGATCATTTAAGTTAAGCATTCACACTTGATACAAATAGACTTTTCAAGGTTATAATGTAAGCCAAGCTGAAGGGTCATAAAAAATTGATATAATAGGGTCAAAACATGTATTAAAAAGGTTCAAGACTAAAGGATCATTTGATGCAACTTGGCATTTTACCCTCACATCATTTCACTACTTTTTTTTTCCTCACACAAAAGATTCTCATTATTTTACCCCAAATCATGTGTGGCATTTATTTTTTTTTGTTTTTCTTTCTCTTTCCATCTTTGAGACCTTTTGTGATTTTTTTTTTAAAATTATCTCCCAGTGTAGAGGGTGATTCTTGGTTGGGGTTCTTCAGAAAAAAAAATCATAACAGGTTCAAAGGGGTAGCAATAAATGATTTTTCGAATGGTAAAAGAAAGATGATCATTTTTCATCTCAATTATGAATACTTTTCTTGAACATCATCTATTGAACAAAGCTCATGAACCTGTATAAAAGATTGTACATCTTCAAGATATATCTATTTCACCTTTAGTAACAGCTTACTTTTTTACTCAAACGATCTCTTCATATTAATGTGGATGAGTTCTCAAAATTAAATCCTAGAATTATTGTTATCATTATCTAAATACTCATCATCTGAAATTTGAGAATGAGAATGTAAAGTTATGAAAGGTAACAGAGCATGGAATAATGGTCGAGTAAAAGAGAAAATATAATGAAATGCATTAACTTGCCCTTATTAAGATGATAACAAGTGAAATCATATTACAAAAAAGAAATCCTAACATTACTTTAAAAAAACTCTTAGAATGATAAGTAGCATTCAACCAGTTTTAACATCCTCTTTAAAATCATGTCCCTATGCAATCAAGTGAAGGATTTTAATCTCGTCCCATTGATTCATTATGACTCTTCATATTCTTGATCCTCAAACAAAATGATTGGGCTTTTCCTGTCGAGTTCTAAAGATACAGGCTTGACCATTTGAGCGGCTGCTTCCATTATCACGTTCCCTGTTGTAGTGCTTCGGGTAAAGGCAATCTTGTCAACATTGGGATGAGATGCCAAAGGAATCATAACTTTTAGGCTTGATCCAATCAGAATATTCAAGACACTTAGAAAAAAACCAACCTTTCTACACACGTCAACCAGCTTCAAACAGGTGATAGATACCAACTCGGAAGGCTTCAGTATTACAACACAATCTGTAGCCAAAGCAAGAGCTACTTTTCAGGTAGCCATCAACAGTGGATAATTCTATAGAGTAATCAATCCAACGACCCCAACTGCTTCCTTAAGCATATAACTCTTAAATATCTCAATGAAAGAGAGATAGCAACTTTTACTTCACATCAAACCTTCAACAAGGTACGTATAGTACTCAAAACATCTAACAACATCATCAATGTCCCAAGTTACTTCATCAAATGGTTTTTAGTAATTAATTGCTCAAGCTTTGCTAATTCAAATTTTTTTTTTGTTATTTTAGAAACGATAGCCCGTAAACACTTGGCGCGAACAATGCCGTAAGCTAAAACCTAATGTTTGCCTTTGTTCTAGAAAGAGCTCTCTGAGCAGCAGCCACCGTAAGCTCCACATCTTCAGCTGTAGCTACTGGAATATGACCGATGTTTTGTTTAATTACAGGATAGATAATTAAAATTCACTTCTTGAGAACAGGCTCTTTTCACTTACTGTCGATGAGTAACATTCGACTTAAAATTTAGACCATCATATTAAATCAGTTTGTCCTTTTTTTTGTTTCACTCTCATTCTCAAACTAGTGTCTAAAAAGTTTTTTTATCTTTTTTTCTATGATCTTTCCTTAATCTCTGTACTTGTGTTCCCCTGTTGCTCTTCTTTGATCAAAACTTGTCATTCCATCCTTGATTAACCATTGCACCTCATGCTTTAGAGTAGTGTAATTTTTAGTGCAATGGCCAGTAATTTTATAGTGGTAGTCACAGTGAGCTGTAAGATCATATCACTTAGGATAAGATGGTTTGAGTGGGTCCACATAGCTTGAGGGTAATCAGGTGGCTATTATAAAGCTCTCGGTATAACTCCGTACAAGTCATGAGGATTGGATCAAATACAAGCTTTTCTCGAATAGTCCATTGCTCTCGTGAATCACTTTTCAAGCTAATAGGATGAATTTAGGATCTTGCAGGAGTTTGACTATTAAAGCTATATATGAGAGCTTGAGAGATAAAAATAGACTGGTATATGGATGAATTAGGTGGTTGTGGGGCTGGTTAGTATGGATAAGATGAAGCATTATTCACAGTAAGATAACATGGAGAGTAAACTAGGGATGGATAGGGTTGATATCTCTTGAACTGTCTATTAAAGCCTACAGCTTGAGCTTTAGTCTCTTTTTTTTGGGTGCTTTCTTGATTTTTTCTCCTTTCAGCTTGTCATTTTTAATGACATTCTCAATTATTTCGCCTGAGATCACCATGTTAGTGAAATTTTGTATGATATTCCCTATCATCTTTTCATAATAGAGAGATTTCAAAGTACTGATAAACAATATGGTGGTCTCCTTGAGGTTGCACTTGAGAAACAATATCCCTCCACCGTTGGGTATATTCTTTGAATGATTCAGTTACTTTTTTCTTCATATTCTGTAAAGAAAGATAATCAAGGGCCAAGTCTATTATATGTTGGTATTGACTAATAAAAGTATGAGCCATATCGCTCTAAGAACGAATACGATTCCTGTCCAGCTGGACATACCATCTAGCAGCAGAGCCAGTAAGGCTGTCTTAGAATACATGCATCAAGAGCTTTTCATTATTGGAATGGGCAGTCATTTTTTGACAGTACATAGTAATGTGAATTTTTAGACACTTTGTACCATCGTATTTTTCAAACTTCAGCACCTTGAATTTTGGAAGAATAACCACATCAAGAACTAAATAGGGCCCAGCAGCATCAACTAAGCTATAAACACTAACTCTCTCTATTACTCATAGCCTTTTCTCTAACATGTTTATCTTTTGTTCGACTTTTGAGGCTTCTAAAGTCCCCTTATCTTTAGGCCTTAACTTTTTTTTTTTTAGATCATCCAAATTAGAGACTGATATTGGTTTTACTACCTTTTCAGTAAAGACAAGATTTATATAACTTTGGTATTGTCCTTGATTTGAAGTTGATGGTATTCTGAGATATGTGTACCCTACAGGATAGGTGAACTACTATGATGGTAGATCTTATGCAGATTAGACTTGATGTGGCTCGAAACCAGGAGGGTACAGTGAGTCATCCTTCTCTTGTTAGCTAACATTCTTCTCTATTACCTTTCCCTTGTTTAACTTATTCAAAGCCTCTAAAATCTTATTCAACTCTCCTTCTAACTTTTTTTGAGCTTTCTCTATTCTCTTGAGACGATTGAAATTTTCTTGTTCCATTAGTCTGGCTTAAGCTCTTGTATTGTATTAGTGAGTGGGGTTGTTTGGTGGAGCTATCCTTGAACCTTTAGCACCACAATTATGATTAGAAATGCTATGCTATGCTTTATGTATGATACGTTGATGCACGAATGAAATGTACATTTTTATGGATGAAATCTAATATGAAATGGATGTAAATGATTGTGTTAAAGCATGATCATGAAAATAATACAGATGCATAAAATCAGACAAATAACATAGTTAGTTTTATAGATGAAATAAAAGTAATGCTGAGGTATAATGTTACATATGATAATAAAAATAATGCACAAAGTCAGATAATCAAAATGATTAGATAAATATTCTCTTTATGTCCTAGTTTCAAGGTATACCAATCATTGGGTAGAAAGGGCTCTATCTTAGGTTTAGGCACATCTAAGGTTCACTATATGTGGTTCAAGGTTAAAGTCTAAAGGTTTCCAAATTACTCCTTACATCATTGTCCATCACAAACTAGTAAGGCACTCTAATCCTCACCCATTATAGGCTACAAGCGAAAAATGTTTAATTTGAATGAGAGTATTTCGCTAGTCACTGCGGAGGCATTAAACCTCATGAAAGCAATAGGTACTTTACTCTCTCCTAGAGGGATGGAGCTCGGATATAGAGCTCATGTTATGCATATGCATATGAATTACATAATTTATAAAGTAAATAAACATGAATAAATAAAAAATCTATACAAAAAGGTTTAATTTTATTAGGCTTTTAAATAACACAAATTTATTTATTGGTCTGACTCTCGAACTTTCCCAGTGGAGTCGCCAAGCTGTCATAACGTCTAGATCCGGAGATCTATTGCTAGATATTGACTTAAGGAGTCACCATCAATCTTTTTTATTTATGTGTGATTAGCCAAAGCTAGTGCTTCCAGATGCTGATACAAAAGATTGGGTTCCAAAAGGAGAACTCGGGGCTCCAAATGTAGTGGTTCCAAAATGAGAACTATCGAATATTGGCGTTAATTGGCCAAAAGCTAGGCTAGACCTAAAGCTGAATGAAGGAGTAAAAGATGGTCCAAAAATAGAAGTGTTTGAAGCCCCAAAAGCAGAAGGGATGGAACCTCTAAATGTATAACTAGAACAATCGAAGACAAGAGTGCTAGAAGTGCCAAAAGCAAGTGTGCTTGATGCTCCAAATGTACCCCCTATTCCAAATACCTGGGCATTAGAACACCGAATGCAGTTTCAGTGGTCCTAAATGCTGGACTTTTAGTTGAACCAAGAGACAGGGGTACCAAAGACAAGAGTGCTTATGGAACTAAAGGCAGGGTACCAAAGGCAAGAGTGCTTATGGAACTAAAGGCAGAGGTGCTCGTGGCACCAAAAGCAGGAGTACTAGAACCAAATGTAGATCGACTTGAACCAAAAGGTATGGAGGAACTAAATATACCACTACTAAATGCAGGCTGTGATTGCTGTGTTATGTTGGTTGGTCTGTATTGCTTGACGAAAGAAGTGCCTCATTTTCATTCTTTTCTTTCTGGTTCACGAAGGGAAAGGTTAAACCTTTTTCTTAGTTAAAAGTGATCTATTTCCTTCAGAGTGGGAGATTTTACCTTCAAAGTTTAGGGCTAGAAGTAGTCATCTTACTTGCCTTCGATGCTCTATGGATCCTCAATACAATCGAGTCTTTGACTGAGAACAACTAATTGTCAGATTCAAATGGAACCAGGTTCCATCTAGACTAGATAATCAGCCTTTTCATCTGACTCTTGAAAGTAGGATTCTTTTATCGAATGAGGGAAAATAACAATCACCCAGACTGTACCACTTCAAGCAGCATCATAGCAAGCAGGTTATCGACTTTCATAAAGCAACCCACGCCTTCTCAATACTACTATAGGTGGTAAAGTTGCTAACAGAAGATTGAACACCTTTTGACTCTACCTTTTTTCCTCTCTTATTCGGATTTTTCTTCTATCTTTCCTCTTCCTGTTTCAACTGTGAATCACAATGATTTATAAAACCATACTGATAGAGTTTCAGTTCAATTCCAATTAGTCATCCAATGCTAAAGATTAGCATCTAATTATGCTTTCTGATCATCATCAAGCCTAATCTCAATCTTTTTTTTTTAAATAATCAGATAATGAAGATAGAAAAAGAAAATAAACAATAAGTAGACCATAAGATAAAAATTAAAAAATGATAAATATGAAATAAAAATCTGAAATAAAAATGAATAAAAGTTTTTACAATCGAGCTTGGACTGGTTTTAATTGATAAAGGACCCGAAAAAATGATGTGTCTACACTTAAAATAAAAAATATATATATAGTAAATATTAAGATTTAAAATTTTAATTTATTAAATGATTTTTTTTAAAAGTGATTATATAAATAAATTAAGTTAAGTTTTGAATTCATTATTTTAACTTTGAGGTTTCATCTAAATAAACTTATTTTGAGAAAAATTTTAGGCCATCGAATAATACGTGGAAGCAAAATGTTTTTAAATTTTAATGTTGAATCATGGTTATGGATGCTATCAAGAAAAATATGAATTTTAATAAAAATTTTATTCTTGTGAATTTTTTTAAAAGTTTTTTACGATACAAAAATTAAGTTTGTGATGTTTTTCAGTGATAGGTTTGCCCTTTTTATTGAAGCAATTTCAAAAATATATGAATATATGATCCTTTGGATCTATCGTAAGAAAAGTGGGTTTTTTTTTTAAATAATTTAACGGTGAAAGGAGATTTTTTTATTTTATGACTATGATAAACTGCAGATCTAAAAAAAATTATATTAAATTTACATTTTGCTTACTAAAAATGTTGTAGACAGTAAATTTTATTAATTCAAGCAATCCATTTGAATACTTATTAAATAACAAAAATCGACGTTTTGTTTATTCAAGGCCGGTTGAGGAATCTACTTCACGTCATTTTTCTTCAATGATCCGTTTGATAAATAATATAACACTCATGTCAAGATGGAGACATTTATATTATTTTATTAAGTGAAGAGTGAGGACAAAAAAAAGCATATGGGAATGGGCATCTCTATGATGTTGAAAGTATCTTTTTCTTTCCTTTTTTTTTAATTGGAAAGATTTTTTAAGTAGAAAACTTTAATTATAAATCCCATTGATGATAAGATTTAAAGAATGATATATTCAATTTTTAATGCTTTTTTTTTTTACAAGTTTATATTAGAGAATGTTTGTAGCATAATTTTTTTTGAACAATTTTATTTTTTATAAAAAAATTGTAATATGAAATTAAAAAAATACAAATACTAAATATGAATTTTAAATTTATTGAATATTATTTTTAATTATAATTTTATAAATCAATTAAATTAAATTTTAAATTTCAAATTCAACTTTTTAAATAATATATATATGCTCAATAATTACTATTGAATCAAACACTTAATATTACTTAAGGAATGATTATTTGAACCCAAACAAAGCAATCCTACCATAAAGGTAGGATATAAATGTGAAGGCAAGAATGACATAAATGTGAAGGCCTTCCAGGTTAACAAAGAGATACTAATAGAGGTAGATGGATTTGGTAACAAGATACACGGATATCTTTACATTTCTTATGTGACTAATCAGACAGTGTCAATTGATCATCAGGGATCTTTTCTGGCCTCTGGGAAGGATTCTTTGGACTCTGTTGGTCTGAAATATTCGGTGTACAATCTATTTAAGATTTAAGCAGATTCTGCTGGTCTCTGCTTTTAGCTTTTCTGGTAAGGCTTGTATGTGGAAAACAGAGTAGAGTGGGAAGAGAGGTTTGATAGTGACTTGCACAATATCAATGGCTGAATGGAAATGGGGGCTCCAGAATTGATGTTGGTGCAGAGTTGAAATTCCAGTTAGGCTTGCACTAATAATAGGATGAATCATTACTGTGAAATACTAGTTGTTCATAATACCTTGTGCAAGAAATATGTTACTCTGTTTGTCAAGTGATACCGTTGCTGGGGCTATAGTACACATGTCGTCGCCTAGTGAATTGTTCAAGCACGTGAGCTTTGCTTTTAAGTCTACAGCGGCAACCTTTTATGGAATTCATCTAGAAAGTTATTTGTTTCCTCGGCAATTTGGGGATGGCATTTTATTGGCTTCAAGATTAATTTTGGACATTCTGGTGCTACACAAACCTTTGGTATAAAGGTATTTTTTTTATGGTTCTAATCTTTTAAGATATGCAATTTCCAACGTACAATTGTTTTTTCTTCTAAATTTTTAAATTTTCAAGCTTACAATTATTACAAAGTCTAGTGATCTCTGGATATCTTGATGTTGTCAATGTTGCTTTCAGTACAGTATTGATTTGATTTTGTTCCTCGGGGGCTTTAGCAAGAGAAAATTAGCTTCTTCTTCTGTGGCACATGTGAAGAGAGTTGAACATGAGGTTGACCTAGCTCCAAAAGCAAAAGGTCTGATAAGAGGAAAAGCTGAGTGCGACAAAGAAATCTTCTCATGTTCTTACTATATTTATACCGTACTTATTCATGCATGATTGAATTATTCTTGCTGGACAAACACATTATACAGGAGGAGTCCCTTCAATCTCTTGATTGGCCACCACCCAGAGGCCAATGATAACAATATCTGGTGATCCGCCCACTTGCAGAGCCACTAAAACTTTGGAGGCCATTTCCAGTGGAGGTTAATGGGTAACTCTCTTGTCTTGAATCCTTATGGGCCCTGATGATCAATTGACACTATCTGATTAGTCACATAAGAAATGTAAAGATATCTGTGTATCTTGTTACCAAATCCATCTACCTCTATTAGTATCTCTTTGTTAACCTGGAAGGTATTTCAAACAACAACAGGTCATGATATAAATGTGAAGGCAAGAATGACATGGCTAAACTATGCCACTATCATTTTTAAATATTCATTTTACCAATAGAAAAAAATAAATTATGTGTTTTCTTTTAATTTTTTTAATGTTATATAATATAATTTTTTTTGCTTTTACTATAATTTAATAGATTTAATTTTATTTTCTACTTCCAATGTTTTTCAAATAATTTAATTATTTATTAATAAATGTATTTGTTAATTTAATTTTCGTTATTTTATTATAAAGTAAATAAAATATTATTATTTAAAAAAATATTATCTTTAAATAATATCAAAATTAATCATTTGTGCAACTATCATAATATGTTTATTTTTATACTCTCAAATAAAATAATCTTTTTTTTCATTAATATAAATACAATGACTTTTAGTTCTTAAAAGTTAATTATTATCAATCGAACAAGATGATTCTAAATTATAATAATAAAATTATCTCCATAATTAAATTATCATGATGGTTTCAACAAATACCAAACACTAATTATGTAGTAATGTAGAATTTTTCTACTCGAGAGGTGGTAGGAAAAAATTACTTATAGCTCATAGCTGTGTGGCATGTTAATAGAGATTGAGTTTTTTATTCTAAATAGATATTAAATTTTGATAATTTTAAATATAAAAAAAATTACCTATAAATCTTTTTTTGTCCAGAATTTCCTTAGATTTTTAAGTATACATCTTTTTAGTATTTAAGAAAAATTAAAAAGATAAAAGTAGACTTGATAATCTAAAAGTGACATAACACGAATATGATATGAATATAAGATACGAATGTGATATAGTTTAAAATTTTAGTAATAATTATATTTAGGTTTAACAAAATAAACAAAATGTATTTTATGTTTTCATGTCACACGAATTATGATACGTAATTTTTATATAAAATATGATATGAATGTATGAATTTTAATAGTTTACACAGACACAAATACACATATCGCTAGGTCTAAATAAAAGCATTCTTAAAAAAATTGAAAATTTTACCACATAATAGATATTATACTAGATTTAATCAAAAGGTCCAAATGAATTTTAATTAAATTATTTCACTTTCTTTTAAGAGTTTTAATCACAACTAAATTATCAGCTTCTGCTTAAATTTTGAAGATATATGTATATATATAGCTTTGTTTTGGTCAAATATCTATAGCTTATTATTTGCCTATTTCTCTGCTGTTATTTTCAGGATTGGCAACAATATGTCGCTTCTATTGTACCCCCATCCAAATTTGTGAAGCAAATCATATTTCAAAGATATTCTTGGTTGAAATCTTAACATTATTCATGGGATTTTCCTATTAAGAGGAAAAAAGAACTTGGACTGAGGGTGATCTGGCCAAGGCATCTGCTGAAATGTTGCATCCATGTTTCATGGTGAATGAGAGAAGCAATCCCCAGTCTCACCGCCTCAGCTGATTATCATATCATTCAAATACTTGGTGACATAAAGAGGCTAACTGACAAAGTTAAGACAGAAAAAGAAGCACCTACGGCAGGCAAATTTGGAACTCTTCTAGCATATTTTACATTTCAATTATGCTAGAAGATTTTGTACAAGGTAAAACTGGTTCAATTAGCACAGCTTCCTTATAAAGAAAGGGACAACAAAGGGCTCTACAAAAGACTCTCGATCCTACTCATGGTCCAGATCTGGTGCATATCAAGCAACGATCATTGCAATTTGAGCACCTCAAGGGGCATCACACAAAGCTCTAACCAACAAGAAAAGAAACTTGTTTCCATCCAAATCTTCATGCAGTAAGCATCTAACAAGCTTGATCTGAAACTACTTCCATGCATCCAAAGTTCACCTTTGCAAGCTGAGATGAGCTAGACAATAGTGAACAAAGCATAATCAACAAACTTGTATTTCTCACCATCTTCTAGCATTATTGGCTTCACCCCTCGATTCTACCAGCCTTGACTTCAAAACACTACCAGGCACCAAAGAGGGCCTCTCTTGAGCTGCATTGTCGAGATCTCTAGAAGAGCGTGTTGGACTAGCATAAATTCTACCTTCCCTAGAACCAGATAGAAGGTGTTCCCTAAGACCCTTTACAGCTTTATATCCAAGCATTTCACCTCCATAACTTTTTGCTTCTACTTGCTTCTCCAGTTCAGCAAATCTACCCCACTCTAAATCATCACCAGCATTTTGAAGCCTTTCCTTTTGCATTCGCCAATCAACTCCATCTGACATGCTCCTTTGTAAAGAAGTACTCCTTGCTAATCTGCTAGAGGTAGATTTTCTACCTGTGATGTCTTCTTCATTTATTAGAGGATCTCTTGAATCACGAGCTGCACCAGGAGCATATGCCCACTTGTAGTTCTTGATGTCGTTGTCCATATTTAATTCTATGGAATGAAGATCACTTTCAACAGAGTCTTCTTCCCGTTCTACAACATCTTCAGCTTCTCCATCCTCTTCATTTTCCTCACTGGGATGGGAACCAAAATGGGCTCTGTTTAAATAGGCAGCAATCGCCTCACTGTTAGGCTCATTTAGAGAACCACGCCCTTTTTCTTTAACTCTTTTTGTACCTAGGAAAGTTTTAAGTTTTTTCCTCCGTTTATCAACAGCTGCATTTTTCTCCTCAAGCTGATATTTGGCCTCCGAGAGTTTCATTTGAACTCTCTGTTCATGCAACACATCAGCTAACTGCATCATCTCCTTTCCCTTTTCAACCTCTTCACGAACTTTTGCAGACTCTCTCTTCAGCTCTTCCTTTGCAGCTTTATCTTCACTGACATCCCTAGCCAGTTCATCACATACTTGCTCAATTACCACCCTTGCCCTTTTCTCACTCTCAAGTTCTTTCACTGATTTCAGAAGAGATGTCTTTGTCTCAGCTAGTTCTTTCCCAAGCTTGTTGTTTAAGGTTTCAAAACGTCTCCTAAGCTTCCTCTCAATCTCAAGTTCACCTGCAATGGACACAACAGCAGCCTCGACAACTTTCTGCTCCTTGTTTTTCCATGCCGCCTTTTCTTCAGCAAAGCACTTCATCAAATAATTGATGTCATGCTGGTCTGAGCGCTGCCCTTGGATGAGTTGATTGACTTGCAGGCGAGCCCTCTCCAACTCAGCATGTAAGGCAGACATGAGGGACATACTTGATGAAGGACGATCTTCGTGACCCCACTTGCGGTTGATAATTTTTATTAGTTCTTTGGATGTTGTCAAGGCATTACTAACATCCTTCAAACGAGTCTTAACGCCAACAGTTGATCCCGTGGGAGTATGGGCGTGAGATCTAGTTTCAATCTGCGTCACAAATGAAAGATTGTTAAACTCCTTTGGGCTCACCAGATACTCAAGAGCCCTACAGCAGCTTAGCACACTGTAAAAGTCCTCAAAAGTTTTTATATTTCAGATATATGAAAATTTTAACTCAGAATTTGATACAAAAAAAAAAAAAAAAACTGCTATATTATTTAATTGTTTACAAAAATGAATAAGAGAGAGGCTCGACAAAAGTTAGGAATTCTGACCTGAAATTATGACAAGCTCAAGAAGATCATAAAATACATTAAACCATTCATAAAATATCCAAAATAAAATAAAAGATTTCTCTTCTATCCTGCATCAATACTTACAAAATATAAAGAAAAGCAGAAAAAAAAATCAATCTTTCCATGAACCAAAAGGAATACCTCCATCAAACTGGTGTTGCTAATAGAATCCAATACCCTAACGTTATGGTCTGTAAGTCTAAGCTTGTGGGAAACAGATGATGCTCTTCTCTGGCGACTATGGGTTCCAGGACTATCCATTCTCTGAAGAAGAATAAATTAACATGGTAATCATTTATCCACGTAAAAAGTATAGTGTGAAAATCAATAGTTTAGGTTATAAACAACCCACTGACAATGGAATAATAGTAGAATTTGGCTGCATGTATTTGAGGCTTAGCAGTTGTAAGCCAAAAACACCAATTGCATTCATTGATCACTTTATAATTAGTTCATGATCGAGTAAGTTAATATCTTGTTCTCTAGACTCTGATTCATAAAAAGCAATTCCCAAGAAAACCAACATTTCTTACACAAAATAAATCAATAACTCTAAATAACAAAGGTTGAAATAAAATCATGCACAATCTAATAAGTGAGATGAAATTCTGGCTGAAATCAAATCCTAAGATCACAAACTGCTGATACTAAACACTATTTGCTCATTGAGAAATGTAGCGTTTAAAAATAATACTTAAACCCAGTTTAATGCAGCATTGCCATTAACCTTACAATATCTCATAGAAAGTCTGAGTGTTTTGATGAGAATCTTATTACATACTAAATCACTTTAAGTAGTCCAAGTTTCTAATCCAAAAGTAGTTTTCACCAAAAGCATAATGTTAAGCTCTTGTTCAAGAAGAAGAAGATGCGTAGAGGTTTTCATGAGTCTTCAAAATGCTTCGCTCAAAAGTGACAAAATTCAATTGATTAGTTATCAACTGGTCAAATCTAGAATAGACAACAAATTCTAAACCTAACCTACCGAACTATTTGCTCATTCCTTAAAAACAAAAAAAAATCAAACCATAACAATCCAAAAGCCAAATAATTTTTTAATATTTAAAAAAATAATTTTAAAGTAAATTAAAAAAAAAAAGGAACCCACCTCAGAAACAGGACTATGAGAAGGATCAGACAAGTGAGGCGGCAAAGAACCCGAATGAGCCGACCTAGCAGCTCCCCTTTCTCTCCCTTCTTTCCTCCTCCTCGTCTCTCTGTTCCCTTCCTTTCTTCTCGGCGATGGTATCTCATTCATTTCCCACAGCGTCGCCGCCAGCTTCCTCGCCGAAACCGGCTGCTGCTGCTGCCCCTGTCCTTGCCCTCTCGCTTTACTCCCACTTTGTGATCCCGCATACTTAGGATACTCCGTAGCTCTCAACATTGACGCCGTTGATGGCGATCTCATCATCAGCTTCCATGTAGGCAAGGTAGTACTGGATCCACCCCTTTTGCTACCAATTAGAATCGCTCTTTTGAATCTGTAGTTTTGGATTTTGGATGATGACGATGAAGCTGAAGATGAACACCCTCGTTTCCTGATTTTGCCAGGTAGTAAATTTTCCATGTGAATGTTGCCCAGGTTTTGCCTTGGCATCATCACTTTTTCTTTGACTAACTGAGTTAACTCAGCTCCTCTTTTTTATTGCTTAATTTTGCAAATAGATCTTACAAATCTGTCAACAAAACAATGAGGATTAAAACCATTAATTTTCTTTAAAAAATCAAACATTTTCTTCCTAAAATTGGACTCTTATTATTATTTTCTATGACTTTGACATTGTAAATTTACTAGTGTTAGGCCTAGATCTCATAAGCTTACGTATGGCGGCTGAGAAAACTGAGGAAAAAGAAAGTAAATCAAAATGACAGATTCAACAAAACCTATGAAAAAGACAGATTTGAGTTTGACGTTGTTTGTTTGCTATTAAGACAACAGAAAAAAAAGAATGTTTGAAATTGAAAGAGAAACAAAAAGAGGTTGATTTTTGTTTTACTGCATTAAAAACCAAGGAAAATTGGTTGACTGGAAGAAGATTTCCTTTTTCATGAAATTTACCGTTAAGTTCACGGCTTGGTTCAGAGTTGTCTTTAGGACTGTTTGAAAACAGAGAAAACGAAAGGGAAAACGAGAGAAAGAAAAAGAAAAGTTCGAGACTTCAGATTCGGAAGAAAACCTGGGAAAAAGTGAGCTTCTTTTTTATGGCTTTCGCAGCACTACGAAGAGAAAAACGTATTAATTTTCTGTTGATAAATTAGAACATGTGCATGTCATATTTGATAAAAAAAATTAATTATTGATAAATAAAATTAATTTTTATATTAAGTTTATTTATATTTTAAATAATTATATAATAAATAGTCATAATTATTTGAATATAAATAAATTATTATTTATAAATATCATAATTATATAAAAAATTATAACTACCTGAATAAAAGTTTATATATGTTCATTCATTATAAATAAATCTTTCAGTATAATAATTTTCATTACTTTTAATTAAAGAGTTTGAAACTTTATTGTATCTTAAAGATATAATTACATTTAAGAAAATATTTTTCACTTCTTAAAGTCAAATTTTTTTTTATTTTTTTTAATAATTTAAAGATAATTATGAAAAATTTATATTTCGCATGAGAAAGATACAAGAAAAAAATTGGTATGATTTGGAGATTAATATTAAAGTAGGCTCAAGGTATTAAAATATTAATATTTTTATGGACCAAAATGTTAATTTAATAAATATCTTTATTAGAGGTATGTATCTTATTATTTGCATAATTGCTAGTAAAAAAATTGATTAAATGAGATAAACACGTTAATAATTTATTTTATTAATGTGTAATGCCAAAATACAATATGCAAACTATTGATTACATTGCATAAATTTATGCATATATTGAAATTAACTCTACAATTGGATTTAATTAATTGTATTATATTTATTTGAAAATTTGATACTTATAAAGATTATGGTGAGAAATACCTTGAAAACATAAAAGAGAAAGGCATGAATTAATTTATGATCAAAAAAATTATCACTTGTTATTAAGTAACGAATTAAATTAGGTTCTAATAGAATGATTGATTATATAATTGTCATATATTTATTATATATAGAACAAGCAAATTGTCACATGATTTATATAAAAACAATAAAAAATGGATAAGGGAATTTACTATGAGAAATTAGATATAAATAAAGAATATATATAAAATAAGATTTGACTACAATATTAATTTTATTGTTAAATCATGGCACCAAAATTAACGTAATAAATTGAGTCAAGCTATTTGTATGGTTCTATCTTTGTTGGTCATTTATAAATCAAATGTTGATATATATTTTAAATTTATTATTGGTTTAAATTTTGACTAGTGTTTAAGTTTCATAAAAATCAATTAAACTTAAATTGATATATGTGAATAATTATTATTAAGATATGATGTTCCATAGATTAATTGGTGAATAATAAATCAAATAATGGTTATTATCATAAACATGAGCAATGTGACATGTATTTTACCTGCAGGATGTATTACACTAGAAGTGATTTTATAAAATTAAATTTTATTGTAAACAATTACAAAGTAAAAATCATAAAAAACCATCAAAAGTTAATCAATAGTTACAAAAAAATATTGTTGCTTTTCATATATGGGATATTGATTAAACGAAAAGGCATGTCATTAAAAAATATTAAAGCATTTGTCAATTACTAGCATTTTGAAGGATGCTCATCAATATCTAATTAGGCATGTTTATAAATTAGAAAAGAGCATGCAAATTTAATGTTCCAAAGGCACTAACATATGCATGTATTTAATTCCATTTTGTGATGACATAAAGAACATGGTACAGTTTGTCATATTTTATGAAAATAAACTGAATAGGATAGAATTTTTTTTTCTTATACATATAAGAAAGATATGGACTATGGAGATACTATGTCATCATCTAATTAATACATCATTGATTAAAGATAATGAAGATATTTTTGCTTATTATACTCGAAAAAATGGCATTTTGTAAGCTATTAAAATGAAAAATGAACAAATTTATGAGATTTTCAATAGTTTCATGATAATGGCAAGGATGTGGCTGGTTATACATCATATTAACATATGGGCTTAAATAATAATATTGGTTTGCGAAAGTCATAAGTCTTAGAGTTCGCAAATCAATTATTTAATCAATGTAAATTCATCACAAATTTTTGTATGAAATATGAGTAAAACTCATATTATAATTATTGCTTATATTATTTTATGAAAATGATTCATTGGATTCATATTTCATACTTGCTTTGATATGGTGATTTAGATATGAACATATTGGTCACAAAATGGTTGTGAAAGTATTTAAAATTTGAGTTAAATATACTATAAACTTTTATTGTATATAGGCATATTAGTCTTATGAGTAAAGTTTGAATTTATTATATATTTGAAAATGTTATAACCAATTAAAAGTGATAAATAATAGAGATATATAGGCTGTATAATAATGAAGAAATAAAGTTTTCATAAAATTTTGAAATTAAGTTTAAAGGTTTCAATAATCATGAACTTTGAATTGGGTATTAGGCAATTAATATATGTGTTAGAAACTCATAATAACATTTGAGATAGTTAATTTTCATTAAAAACTATTATTATAAATGAGATAACTTCAATAGTCAAATCTATATGATTTGTAGGTATGATGTGAATTATTATGATTGGCTTAGAATAGTTATAAGCCAAAATTAATGCCACAATCTTGGTCACATTGTGGAAACTTTGTGTCATCTATATGGTCTAATTCATAGCTTATACAAATAATTTATCATCTATGGTTTTATATAATGAAAATTTCAACGTATATTTACTTAAGAAGCCATAAGTGTTTCAAAATTTTTGTGAACATGAAAACTTTTATAATAGTAAAAGGAATGCTATTTGATCCATTTGGGTGATGAAAATGATTTTGTTCATGGCAATAAAAAATTATTAATAGTATCTATGATGAAATTGATTCATATAAGTATTTATGAATCGACATAAAAAGTCTTAAAAAAAGACTATAAAAACATGATTATATTTAAAATTTACTTATTGATGTAAACTCTTATATTGAATTAAAATATAAAAGTTTTGAAACTTTTATAGAAACATTAAGATATTTGATAAATATATTTCACTAACAGTAGATTTGGAGGTCTGCTACTTTAAAAAATACCAAATAGTGAAAAAAATGAAATGATAAATTGATTAAGTATTTATGATATCTTAAAACAATTGAATGATACATTTTTTAATAAAAAAAATGCATACTTGCACATTGTAGGGGTGATAAGAATCAAAAGAAATAAAAATTACTACTATAGTATTGCAATATTTTAATATAATTTTATGAGCAAATTATAAAAACTAAAAAGTTTAGACACTTATTGAAGTAAAATCATAAAAAAAGTCCTTAAAAACCTTTAAAAGAGTAAAATGGTTTAATTTATTAATTAAGTTTATTCAATTGTACTAGAAGTATAATTGTATTAAAAATATATAAAAGTATGAAAATAGAATGGTTGAAATTAATGAATATAGAGTTATGGCCACAACCAAAACAAACTATTTTTTAGAATGATAAGAATGAGACAACTATGTCTAGAGTATATAAATGATATGCAAAATTAAAAGTTTGGACATATTGCCTGAAGTAATTATATTAGAGATTTAATCTCAAAAGAAAATTGAATTCCAATATTTTTTGTTAGTAGTATTACAAGCAAAATGGATTTAAAGTCTTACTATTAGACACAAATAATGAGAACTCAATTTTGAATTAGTAACTTTTAATTACAAAGTTTAATGGGTAAAAATAAATTATTATTGTGTGTTTGTTAAGCACTAGTAAAATTCATTCAAATTTTAAAAATTAGTGTGATCCATTACGTATGAAAGATATATTTTTATACTCTTAATGGAGTTTTAAATGCTAAAATAATTGAGATATAATGAAAGCTCTACATATACAAATATAGAAATGGTGCTGCTTCAACAAGAATAACTGGAGTCTCTTTTATAAATATTTATGAATATGATAAGTATATAGTTAAAATAGTATTAAAAGCAGTTATAAATTTTTAACAAAAAAATAAATAAGTATTATATGTGTTATATCTTAAATTTTAACACTTGGAGTTGATGTTTAATCTGCAGACATCATCAACTTCATTAAAATTTTAATATATAAATGATACTTGAATGTTTAAATCGAAAGATATTTTATTATATTCATAATATTTATTTGTGTGAAAGGTAAAAATTAAGCAACAACATTCTAAATTAGTGAAAGATTATTGGTAATTTAGAATATGGTACATCTCACATTAGATAAAAAAAATTAATTATTGATGAGTAAAATTAATTTTTATATTAATTTTATTTATATTTTAAATAATTATGTTTGAACAGAAATAATTATTATATGATGAATGGTCTTAACTATTTAAATATAAATAAATTATTATTTATAAAAGTTATAATTATACAAAAAATTATCATCATCTCAATAAAAATTTATATTTATTCATTTATTATAAATAAATATT